CTTGATTAATATTCCCCGAAATAGATTCTCCTTGATCTGGGTGAATTTTTGTCTGACTCATTCTACCTTGGGCCTGACTTCTCCCTCGGCCTCTGCCCATGGTTCTTTCCCTGCCTCGACATTCAGAAATATTAGTTGGAGCATTATCAAGAGATTCCTCTCTTTCTTCTGGATTGGGGTGGGCGATCCTTTCAGAATTTCTTGATTGACTTGCCATCTGCAGATATTTTAATATTAAATATCATGTATTCACATTCCCAAATATAATAAGGTATCTGAGTACAAATATGTACATGTAAATTCATAACTATATTGGTCATTTGTAATTCGAGTTTACCTTACATACTTCCCTCTTTAACCCATCAAATTTATTCCCGGTGGTACTATCTATGTCCAGGACCCCTTAATATGCAAATAACTGTTTAAGTCTAGGTATCTTGCTTTGAATACCTAAATCCCTTAAATTCGGGCTCTGATACCACCTTCTGTAACACCTCAACTCCTATATTTGCATAAAACATGTACTTCATATAAAAAGAAATACAATTTAAACCACAAAGGTTCTACTAGTACAAGGATTCAATATATACAAAATTTTACAACAGAAAAATTCCTGAAGAATATCTGTATACTATCACATGTATGTCCACATGTACCTTCAAAATATAATAGGCAACAGGTTGATCTTCAAGAGGCAAATAAATACATAAGAAAAATAATCATATTTTCTCCTTCCCTTTAATATCCTGAGACCCGCCTGTTCCTACAATGCGCATTTTCAAAATACAAAATGAGGGTTAGATCGAAAGTTCTAGCGAGAAAATCCCTTCTTTGCAGTTACAGGATGAAGATCACCAAAACCTGTAAACATCTTTTGCATATAGATAAATATATTTCAGGAAAAGCATGCAAATCTGCTTGTCACTTAAATTATAAAACCAACAGATTCTCATAGCACATATGCACCTTCCCTGAAATCTGCGTCTTTTACAGAACACAAAGTCATAAAACCCCTCTTGCTCAACGGCTAGAGCTCCTCTGGCTCAATGGGCCAAAGTTCCTCTGTCTCATAAGGAGAAGAGCTCTTCTCTTAAACCAGTTTCTCACGTTGACCAGAGCCTCTGCTCTTACCAAACAAAGCCTTTGTATTTAACCCAACTAAACAAGTCTAATCTCAACCAGAAACATTTGATTTTTAAATAAAAGGATAATAAAACTATAACCAGAGCTCCTCTGGTTCTTTATTTTACTTATAAAATATATTTAAAAAGAATTTGAATTATAACAGATTTAGTTTTAAAATACAGAGTTCAGATACAGTGCTCAGACACAGAGCTCAGATACAGAGCTTCAAATGCATAATGCGGACACACTATTTCCATGATACCGAGCCTCTGTGTAGTATATACAGAGCCTTTGGGTCAGAAACTCCTGAAAATGATTGGGAAGAATTCCCACACGACCAAAGGTCCTCTGGTTCATCAAAAAGACCAATCAGAGCTCCTCTGTATCTTCTCAAACTTATTCAGATTTCAAAAAAACCATTTGGAATCATGGGCAATTAATGTCTCTGGCTACAAATCGTTTTTCCCTTCTCAATAACACCAATGTTAATATTTCAATAAGAACAATACCTCTATATTATTAAGTCACAAAGAAATGTTGATTTAGAATTAGAATTATTGTGTCTTATGGTGATAATAACAAGAGTCATAATATTAAACACATCCACAAATGTCACCCTTATATCCATATGTACACCTCTCTTTGATATGTCACCCTTATTCCCTCTTTAAGATAGGGTTTCTTACCACAACAATGTCACCACGTCTGGAAATGCCCAGTTCCACACCAGAACAGACTTACGTCACTACATCTGGGGGAACTATTTCTCAAAACAAAGTTTCATACCAGAACAAACTTATGTCACCACATCTGGAAGAAACATTTCTCAAAATAGAGTTTCATACCAGAACAGGCTTATGTAACCACGTCTGGAAGAAACATTTCTCAGAACAGAGTTTCATAACAGAACAGACTTATGTAACCACGTCTGGAAGAAACATTTCTTAAAACAATATTTCTTTCAAAACAGACTTACGGCACACGTCTTGAAAGAAAACATTAGTATCTTTTCCCAGTTCACAAAAAGATATAGAATACCCTTTTCATAATATAAAAATAGTTTAAAACTAATTAAACATTAATTATGAAATTCCATCATTAAATAACTCAAGTTTTGGGCCAATTCCCTTCATCGGCCAACCCTATCTGTACAACACTGTCCGGGAAAGCTTATCCGGATAACATATCCGGACATCCTTGTTTGGACAAGACTTGGAAAGATCAAGTACAATCATCGGGCACACCTTATCCGAATTGCAACAACTCAAACAACCCTTGGGCGATAAAAGCAAAACGGAATACCCTCTGTTCGACAAGAGTCCTCACCAGGCCAGGTTTCACCCGATAAAGACCTCATCTGTCAATATATAAAAGCACACCTCCCTCACCGGACAAGACTTGGCCGGTACGGAGCCCTCATCAGACAACACACTGTCTGATTACAGGCCCTTATCGGCCCATGAAACTTCATAAGAACCTATGCATGCAAATGGATGAATACACCAGCAGTTCCATTCAAAACCAGAAAACCAGTTTTCTTAACAAATTCAAAAGTTTTTTGTAAAACAAAACTCATCTCTAATGCAAGATTCAGACTTTTGAAAGAAGATGAAATATGATCACAAACTACTTCAACTTTGATCCCAACTTCTATTTTTAGAAAGAACCCAGTTCTCTTCCCTCTTTCAGACTTTCTTAATTTGGTAGAAAAAATATTCTCTTCCAAAACTTTCCTTTTTAAACTTTCCTTAACAGGAAAGATGGTTTTGGGGAATGAATATAAAATTCTTTTATTTACTTCATCATACACACCATATGCACACATATGCATTCAATATTGCACACATATATTTTTATGCATGCATACATAAATCTTTCCTGCATGCACACATGTAATATCCACTCACATACATGCATACACATAGGCATATTTACAATTTCATGCATACATCTTCTCACATATATAGGCATATATCCACATAATAATCCTATGTATGCATATATTCATATGATTAATTATAGCAATTAATCATATATTCATGTGACTACATAAACAATTAATCACATAACAATTACCTCAAGTGTATAACCAAGACCCTGTTATCACAGACTTATAGGTCATAAGAATGTATCTAACAGTTTTTAGAAAGTCCAAGAAGTTATTTAACAGGTTTTGGAATATTCAATGACTTATTTGTTCCAAAAAATTTGCTCAATAACTTAATCATATTCCAAAATCCAAACACTAAAGTCTATTGTGTTTTTTAGACTTTTCTCATAAACTTATTATAATTTTAACATTAACCATTTGAAAATTATTATTGTTATTATGATATGTTAAATTATAACACTATTCATCATAATAATACGGATAATCTTCAACGGGTTAGCCTTAAGTTATAACTAGTTGTATACCCGCGCAATGCGGCGGGAGTGAAATTTTGAAAAGATGTAAACGGGCATATCGATTACGGACAAAAATTTGTATTTGGTTTTATCAGGATATATATTTGAAAAGATGTAAAATGTTCTATCAAGATATATATTCAACTTCCCGCGCAATGCGGCAGGATGTAAATGTTCTATCAGAATATATATTCAATTTTTAAATATCATTTTTTTTGAAATAGTTGGTGGTTAACATCTGTATCAAAATCCGAAAATGAAAAATTAATGCAATTTCTCATTCAAAAAGTCTAAAATTTATGTTTAAACAAAATAGAAATTAGAATCATGTTTTTATCATACACAATCATCATTCAAAACTTCTTGATACACCACATTTGATGTGTAAACTCCATCCTGGTTGAACTTTTTGGTAGGTTTCACTAATACCTTCGTATTACCACGTGATATCCCTCTGGACAATGCCACGTAAAGTTGGCCGTGCGAGAATACCGATTCTGGTAGATAAACACCTACCACCGGAATTGTTTGTCCTTGAGCTTTATTGATTGTCATGGCAAAACAAAGTCGAACGGGAAATTGTTTTCTCTTTAATTTAAAGGGAAACATATCATCGTCAGACGGACATAGAGGAATTCTTGGTAAAAATACCCTCTTACCAGCATGCTGACCAACAGCTATTTCTGCATCGATAGCATTCTGCTGAAAACCTCTACATATCAACCTCGTGCCGTTACACAATCCATTTGAGGGGTCGATATTCCGTAATAGTATTATCGGACATCCAATTTTAAGCCGGAGGTAATGAGGGGGCAAACCGCTAACAGTCAGTGAGTTTAAGAACTCCATCGGATATAAGTTATTTTTGTCATCTTCTGCTTCATCAAAACTGTAGTAAATTTTTTCCTCTCCACGGAATCTTTCAATCAACTGATCATTAATCTCGTCAACATGCTCATTTTTTGTTGTTAGTATCGCCCTCGAAATGATATAATCTGAAGCAGTCTCGCATGTTTGAAGAGAAGGAAATATTGCATCAATCAAAGCATCCTTCGATTCATTTTTATTTGTGTAAGGAATGGCCATGTCATCAGGTATGCGAATGAAGTTTCCATCTACTGATTCTTCATCTCCATCGCCGACACGTAACAGAAAATCTGAAAACCATGGATCTGTAAGTGCTCTCATATTGATCGTTAACCGCAACTTTTTAATCGAAGACCAAATAGGTGACATCCGTAAGCTTGAGTCTACGATCTGTGCTCGAGTGCCATGTCTCATTACTGGCAAYACYTGTCTAAAATCACCTCCCATAATCATTATTTTTCCACCAAATGGAAGTCTCACCCCAGTGATGTCTTGCATTGTTCTATCGAGTGCCTCTACTGCCTGCCTCTTTGCCATTGATGCTTCATCCCAKATGATTATTTTTGCGACTCGAAGTAGTTGAGCAGTTCCGCTTTGTTTTTTTATATTGCACACCGAATTATTACTAAGAGTAAGGGGAATCTTGAATCGAGAGTGAGCTGTTCTCCCCCCTGGCATGTTGTTAGCGGCAGCACCGGATGAAGCGCGATAGCAATAAGTCCACGGGAACGAACATTAGCAAGCAAAGCTCTATACAAAAATGTTTTTCCAGTTCCACCCGGTCCATCTACAAAAAACACAGCTGGACAATCATTATCTACATGCCTCATGATCTCATCAAATGCATGTTTCTGGTCGRAATTTARAGAGTTTCGAGCATTTAAGTCTTCGCCTTGCACAACTATGGAGTACTCCTCTTGTACCTCACGAAATCCTCGTGATTCTAAATTGATAGCTGCATTTAAACTTGGAAGATCAAAATCATCGAGGTTTTTACCCATAGATTGTAAAAAGACGGCGATGTCTGTAAGAACCATATTTCGGACTCCCTCAACATTTTCGTAGTCTCGTCTATAATCTTCAGAGAGTGAATCATAATGTTCATCCCATAACTTACGAACATCTCCCGGCTCACAATAAATCAAGATCGTTGCGAATAATCGTCTAAGAGCATTGGGAAACTGAAATAAGGAGGCATCGGCAAGACAATGCGATAAATTATCATCGGTTTCTATTAAACCTCTCTCAAGTGCTGCTTTGCGAAATGTTGGATGTATWATSCCATTRACCGTGTAAAGATCTTCAAAGCACGTGGGCCCACTAATATGAGACAAAAGTAGGCGTAGATAATATCGTTCTCCTTCGGCAGGATTAGCATGAACCAGTCGTCCTCTCATTGATCCATGTTTTCGAGGATTCCATTTACGTGAACTGGCATTCCATGTGTAATGTTTCGGAAAATCTTTGTATAAATATTGTCTCGCACTCATATCTATTTTATTCCTCTCAAAAAATGCGGTTAACATTGAGCTCTTGTCTCTCTCTCTATCAACGATATCTGTCATTATATCATTTTCTCTGAACCTAACCAGCTGCTTATTCGGAAGATGGACCTGCAAAGCCATCACACAAGGGTGGATTTGAGAAAGTGGAAAGCTAAAAATCCTCCAAATTGCCTCAGGTGGCGAAACATATCGTGCATCTTGAAATCTCTTTATCTCATTGACAATGACCTCTTCTGTATCAGGATCGACATGAATAACCTGTTTGTCATGACCCTTGTAAACATACTTGAACACATACTTCACAGATATTATACTTGAGCAAACCTCAACATTGATGTGACAGTTAAACATCATTAGCAACTTTGGATTATATGGGACCACCCATCTATTATCAAGGATATTGCCACGGACGTTCACCTCTATTCCATTGTTTCTCCTCCGATACATCGGATATGAGTTATTTGTCTGCATCGTCTTGTCGTTGAATTGTTGAGGATATCTAAAATGACATTTTCTCGGCTCACCTTCCATACAAGGGCTAGACGGTCGTAAATGGCCGCAAGGACCATGCATCATGTGCTTTATCACCAGCTCGTGCATTTCAGGATACTTTGTCGGGTCCGGGATTTCAGCACAAACTATATTGTCGTAATGGTCTGGGTTTGTAATCTTGTGTTCCGGTTTCATTATCATGAGGATATGTGCATGTGGCAAACCACGTTTTTGAAACTCGATGACATAAACATATGCCCYAACCTYGCCGAGGATGTGCTTCTTGAAGAGTTGATTTTTAAGATCCTCTAATTTGGCACGAAAAACTCTTGCAACAAGGTCTGGCCTATCTTGCGCGGTTTGACCAGGCAATAACTCTTTAAGGATTTCAGGCCACTTCGGATTACACGTCATGGTAAGGAATATATCGGGTTTTCCGTCATCTTGAACTAAAGTCATAGCATCCATAAATCTTCTTCGCATATCACATGGACCTCCAATAAAACTTGCATGAAGCACAACCCGTTGTCCAATTCTACTTGGTTGAACCTCACCGGCATTGACGCAATCCACAACACCTTGGTATAAGTATGATCTTATCTTCGTTTGATTCCTTTCAATAAAAGACAAACATGTAGTCTCTATCTTGATGTACATATCTACCACGAACTGTTGAAATAATCTTCCGCCTAATAGAATGACGTTATTACTCGACCGAATTTGGAACTTGTAACAATAATAATCTCGCATTGTTACAGTTTTCCTACCCCTTCCTGAGCTAACCTCTGCATAGTATCGAATTTTGAATCATATAGATTAATAAATGAGTGAATAAGGTAATAAATATATGTGACAATGTTCATACCTTCATGATCTTCATCGAAGATTTCGTTGTCATTAACAATTTCATCGATGCACACTCCATGTCTGGGTATTCTAGCATGCCATCCAGACTCACCGTTGGGAAAAAACAAAGGATAAGACAAAGGATCATAGCAGCCATAGTGATGTTCAATTTTTTTACTATAGTCAGACCTCCCATACACAACAATACTTCTCTTGTATGCAGTGATATTGTCATTGCCTTCCACCCAAATACCAGCAACCTGTAGAATGTTAGAATTTGCTTCAATACCATGCATATGATACATTTTATTATAAATGAGATAAAATAAGTACTTATATTTCAACCTCAGATGTGGTCGGTCGGTTGTACACCCTCTGATCAAGTTCCACAGAAGCATTCAAAGTGACTCTATAATTATCGAGTGGTCCTAGCTCGGCAAGGCTTCGAAATGTTCTCACGTATGGGTTTATAGAAAGAACACGAGTCAACATTTCAATGACGTTTCTATCAAGATTTGGCCATTGTAGTCTATGCGAAAGCTCAGATTCGGCATCATAAAAATAAAGTTGTAAGTACCGAGGGTGTCCATCCCTCGGAACTAACTGATCAATTCTATGATATATTCCCCCTTGAGCACGAAACGTATATACTCCAGATGTCATATTGCTCACTGTACTATCCAAAGTTACCCCCATTGACGTGAAGGAAAAGTTTGTGTTGTATGCACGAATATTGTGCCTAAACATTTCGCCTACCTCTGATTGCGTTGTAAATAAATTGTATAATTCTTCTGGAATGGGTGAGCATGCCAACTTTGTCTTTCCACTCATGCAACAAAAGGAAGGGAATTCAAATTCGAACCGCTTTGCTCCACAATGTTCGCATGCATTTTGTTCCTTCAACACACGATATTGTTTAGGGACACCATCATAAACAAAATTGTATGGATCCTCCTGTTGGATCTCAACATTTCTATTATTTTCCTTGTTTCGTTGATAATAGTTTCGGTTAGTAATTCTTCTCCTTTGAACGCCTAAGAAAGATATTTGGATACGACAAATAAATATTATTATTATAAAGAACTACGAAAGTCGAGTTCAAAAAGATCGAGTTCGAAAAGAAATACTAACTCGTTGATTCTTGATTAGCAGCTTCGTCAAAAAGAGGTAGCAATCTTCCATTCTTATTTATAATGCCTATGAAAAAAAAACATGTCAATGAGTCTAAAGTTTATATGAACACCGAAGTTTCTAAAGTGTGTATAACCGGATGGTATTTACCGTTGACGTTTCGTTGATAATAGTTTCGATTAATAATTCTTCTCCTTTGTGCAAAAGTTAGGTTACTGGCAGGAGTTGTTTCATTGATATTCTCTTGTGTTGTCTCAATTAGAGAGATATCTCTCATGTTTGACATTGAATGACTACTTCCTTCACCAAACGCAATTTTTCTTTTTTTCGTCATCTCTTTTTGTTCTGCATAATAAAGTTTATTGTATTAAATTTTATTTTTAAATATATATTGAATAAGTACATGAAAAATTAAAATGTATTCTTATTATATATTCCACATACATTTTGCTATATCAAAACTAACTTGAGGACCATCAACATTTGCATTTTCTTTTGTT